TCGGATTGCTTTGTAACTAACTATAATTCCCGCAAACAGAAGAGTTAGTTAAATACATATATAACTCTGGTTTAATTTCCGATTGAAAAATAGAAGAAATAAGAAACGAAATAACTTCGCTGAATCAATGCCACCTTAAAACTTTAAAAGTTTCAAATACTCACAAAGATTCTTGGAAAATACGAATAGTTCAAAGTGGATTACACTAAAAGACGTTTTTTTTTTTGCTCTGTTGTAAAATCTTTAATATGTCAGTTATGACCATGTTATGACATTTTGTGTGAAATTGGCGATAATACAGTTTGATACAGTTCTTTTAAGAGTCCATTTCACTAGTCTGAAAAAGTAGCAAAATAAGCGTTCGGCCATTTAACGTTTTATGTAAAACTGGCTAGGTATTTTTACACAAATGAAGAAGGAAATTAAACATAAAGGATTTTACTATATCCATATTGTGCCAAATTTTTAGATAACTTCTTCATTTTTAAGATTTTGATGGTCAAACATCAACAAAATATACCTTATGTTTGGACTAAATTTTCTAGAAAATAAAGACATAATTTAAAATTCCGTTACAATAAGAAAATAGATTGAAGTTTTGTGATTACAGTGATATATAATTTATATGACTTTGTAACAAATTGCTTGCTATTTTATGGCAAATGCTGATGGTCTGCAAGCGTTAATCAAGCCTTAATCAAAGCACGTGTGTTTGGAATTGGGAAGCTTTAGGCAGATTTCTGAAATATAATATACAGGGTGGTCCGAATTGTATTCCGGAAACTTTGGCAGCATATTTTGCAGAGAAAAATAAGTAAAAAAGTTCGTATAATTGTATGTCCTAAAATGCTTAGTTTCGCAGATACAGGGTGTAGAAGTTTAATTTTTATTTCGATTTTTTCCAAATAATTTCTGATGTAAGGTCAATATTTGGATGAAAATTGGTGTCTGGGAGTTTTTTGACATGAGAAATTTGTTTTTGATGTCAATATTACTCCTATTTGTAGGGGGCGCCACCTACATGTGTTTAACTGTTTTAAAGAGTAATAACTTTTCGTCCGTATGTGTATAAAATTACTGAGTGAAAAAATGTACATTTCCATTACTTTTTACGTAAAAAATGTCTCTTGGTAAAAATCGCTACGAGCAACCGTTCTGAAGATACTTAGAAATAGTCAAAACATGTCATTATAATGACAAAAAATAAACACGTTGAGTAGATACTTATTTGAGTGAAATAATAAATTTGGGAAATTTTTATTTCTTTTGTATTAATCATAATTTTTTCTGCGAAAAAATGTTGATAAAACAGTTTTTGTCAACTTTTGGCACAAAAACATTTATATTTATTAAATTTATGATTTTAATCTAATAACTATTTAGTCAATATGTTAAATTTATGTCAATCATGACAGGTATTAATAATTTAGATTCCAAATATCTCGAAACCATTACTTGTAGCGATTTTTACCAAGAGACCTTTTTTGCGTAATAATCGTCGTAAATGTGTACTTTTTTACTCAATAGTTTTATACAGGTACGGACGAAAAGTTATTACTCCTCAAAACAGTTAAAATACATGTAGGTGGTGCCCTCTACAAGTAGAAGTTATATTGACATCAAAATCAAATTTTGCATGCCAAAAAACTCCCAGACGCCAATTTTCATCCAAATATTGACGTTACTTTAGAAATTATTTGGAAAAAATCGAAATAAAACTGAAAATTTTACACCCTGTAATTCCGAAACTAACCATTTTGGGATATACATTTATACGAACTTTTTTACTTATTTTTATTTGCAGAATATTCTGATGAAGTTTCCGGAATACAATTCGGACCAACCTGTATATTTCCTTTGGCCGCACACCCGCTTTAAGGCCGGGACACACCTATCATGCACGTTTCCGATCCGGCTACGATCATACAGTCGGACGACTGTATGAGAGGGAAATCGTACGTTATTTTAACCAGCGTAGTTTACACCTTTCCGATACGTGATTCACCCCCGCTCCTACTCGACTCCGTTCCTGCATCCGTTCGTGTTCCGATTGTCAGTCTATTCGTCGATGCCGGCTGTGGGACTTGTGTCGTTTTCAACTATTTTGTTTATTTTTGTTTTTGCTGTGTTATTTTTAGTTTTTTACTAAAATAATAAAAATGTCAACAATAAAACTGGAAGAACTAATTGAAAACGTGAGGAAATATCCAGTGCTGTATGACCAGACCAAAGAGCAGTACCGAAACTCCGACTACAAAGACATGAAATCTGCGTTTTTGACTGTTCTCTATAAAAGCTTTCTCATTTTCCTCATCTTCTTCTTCCAAAGTGCCACCATGGCTAAAGCACTGTTGCTAAAATTATTAATTCCTTAAAAAAAGATTTCCCTCTCATACAGTCGTCCGACTGTATGACCGGAGCCGGATCGGAAACGTGCATGATAGGTGTGTCCCGGCCTTTAACCGACACCTGAGAGCGACCCGAACAGTACAGAATAGACTCTTAACAGTTTTTTTTCCTTAAATTTTTATCAAAGCCACATAATATTCTTTTCGTTTATTTTAATTCGTAATATTTAGCTTTCTTGATTTAATTTAATCTGAATTAAATATTCATTATTAACCAAGAAGTATTAAAGAACTTAAAAACATATAAAAGAAAAAGATTTGCTTATAACTTGTAATAAAGTTGCCTTAAAGTAACGCCTCTTATTAAAAGTTGAACTTTAAGAAAAATTAAGCTTAATTAGTGACTTTCAGTCCCAACTCCCTATTAAGAGTAATGAAAAAGAAGTTTAAAAAAACGTTTTGACCACCTTTAAAAAAAGGTTTACAAGCTAATTAATATCATTTTTTTCTTAAAACTTTTTGTACAATTCGTGTCAAATATAATAAAATAAAATATAAACATGTCTTTTATTACTAAGTACCGTATGATCGAATTTTTTTTTCGATTCGATGGTATTATAACTAAAGACTTAATTCGTTATTTTTCAAAACCTCAACCAAACTACTCAGTACTACCAAGGTACTACCCTAATAATTCACTTAAGAAAAAAAAATAGCGCCGGAAGGCACGTATAGCCGCCCATACTAAAATATGCTAATAAAAAGTTGGTAGGCAGTTCTTTTAGTTTCAAAGTAAAGGAATTTTTCCAATTTTTTTTTATATCAAAAACTGCGACTTTGACTGATTTTGATGTTTACAATTTTTGTTGCAAATATTATTTTTTCAATATTACAGTTTCGCTAGCTACTGTAATTTTGGAGTTACGATTTTTTAAAATTTTTAATCCCCTCCCATACCACTTTACCAACCCCCCACCCCCACCAAAAACTAATGGCCAGATTCTCGGGTGCCACAGTATTTTTGTGCCAAATTTGGTTAAAATCGGTTTAGCGGTTTTTGAGTTATCGTGTTACAGACAGACGGACAGACGGACAGACGGAGAGACGGACAGACGGACAAACAGACAGACACCATGAAAAAATATTTTTTAACTAATATAGAAAACTAATTTAGAAAACTAATTTTGAGTGAAACTTTTTTTTTGCCGATCTTAATAAATAGCCTACCATATCTGTTGGTATGATCGGCTAAAAATTAATTGTAAAAAAATCATAATAGATTTGACATATTGTGACATAATTTGACATTGTTATGTTGGTATGATCAGGGCCGCATTATTTTAAGTTTTCGGTTAATTTAGTATTTTTTATCTATCGCAACTCAATAACGAATTCGTATAATTATTCAAAATGAACAATTTTCTTCATTTTAAGGAGTTTTTTAAAAAAAGTTCCAAATAAAATTTTCTATAAAATAAAATGGAAAACTTCTATTCATTATAATATATAAAAATTATAAAATATATAAAAATTATAAAGTTTTAGTCACGTGATTTAGCTTGACCGGCATCACAGCGTTGCCCACTCTTACATATTTTCTTTTAATCAAAATACTTTACGAAACAAAAATAAATTAATTATAAATATATAAACAGTTAATATTTACATCAACAAAACTCACCTTCTTGACTGCACTTAAGGGACATAAAGGGCCATTATTACCGCTTTCCCGTTCAAAATATTCTAATAAATTTGCGATAAGTTTTTTACGGCTATTAAGCTATCTTAAACCAAAATCTCGTAATATACAAAACGAAAGTGTCAAAACAAATAACAATGTCAAGAAATAAATAAATAAATGTGGTAACTTGATATTTTTTACAGCAAACCTACCATCTGAATCCACAGCGTAAAATTTAAATTCCAGTTAGTCAGCCCGACGCCGAATATTTCCATAGTTGGCAACAATGAATTTAAAATTCGCGCCCTCGATTACGTAACTAAAAGTTTAATTGGTATCAAATATATATTTTGTATTCTTCAAAGTTTTTTTCAAACCCTCATGTTTCATTTAAACTTTTTAAAATCAAAAAATCCACAAACTTCCGGTTATTTTCACAAGGTCGAAACTTTTCTATCATTTTTACTGATGCAGCAGCTCGGAAAATTTCCAAAGTTTCCGCTGTCCCGCAAACTTTAAAATTTATACTTCCCAAGGTAAAGAGACGAGACTGAAATGAAAACCTGCATCGGCGTCGTCCAATTGTACTAAACTTCCTCCCTTGATATCCTCTATTTCCTCAACTGCTTCTTTTTATGTCACCCAGATTTATTTTGATAGCTCTATATTTTTTATTAGTTTTTCTTTTCTGCCAGTTAGAAATAGCATTTTTATTTTACTCCTATTTTTATGGTTCTTTAAATATTCTCTTTTTAGTACTTATAGTAAAATTTTTGACATGGTTTATATGAGAAATGAGGGTAATAAAACAATAATAATGAAAGAGAGAGACACAGAGAGAGAGGAGAGAGCTTATAATAAATGAAGATGATAAAAATAACAGAGAACTTACAAGGTTCTTATATAAGATTTCGTAGTATATGGGTATATAAGATATAAATAAAATGTTAAAGCTAAAGTTAGGCACTTACCCCAGCCAATGCCCAAATAAACTCTCAGCTTGAAACTTTCTCGAGTCAGAGTCCGAACAACCAGGATGTAGAGGTAGAGACCTTGAAGGAAAAGAAATCATTAGAAGTTAAACTTAGTAGATACAATACAAAGATAGCACATGATTTATATAAAACGTCATGGAAATACTAATTCAAAAAATTAATTTGTCTAAAAATACCCTTTCGTTTCTATACAGGGCGAGTCTTATATAACTACAAATATTTCCAGGACTTGTAGATTGCGCTAAAAGAGATATATTTTCTTTGTGCCGTTTTTCAAATAGCAGAGTTCTTTTACTTTGAAAATCTTATTGCAAATAGTTTTAGAAAATACAGACCTTATACATATACATATTTCAAATATATAACAACTTTATTTATAAAATTACCTTGTGTTTAAACACCTTGTATATACTTATGATATTTATAAATTTCCTAAATTTAACAGCCAAGTGAATTACTCAGATGTAATTTGACAAATTGTTTCATTACTTAGAATAATTTATCTAAATGAAAAGGAAGCCATTCCTTTTATTATTCCTCGCTATTACAATAACTTTGGTCCATACAGGATGGTATAAATTTAACCAAACAAGGTGATAAACACGGTAATATTCTGTTTTGAATGTAACAATCTTTAAATACACAGTGTTTATATTTTTATTTTAAAATATGTTTCTTTGTAGTTTATAGAGAGTGAGTCTTAACTAAGTGCAAATATTTTCAGGGCTAGTAGATCTCTATAAAAGAAACTTATAAGTCCAAAATAACCGAGATATTTTACTTTGAAAATTAAAAAAAATATATTTTCGCTTCAATTTTGAGAACTACTGGATCTTTTCTGGGTTTTCTTGTAAATTTAATTTACTCCCTATGTTGCCATATTATGAAGATATTATGTTTTTTATACCTAAAAATAAGCAGAGAATTAGCAGGGATAACTTGGGCACGTATAGCCAACAATAGACAACTATGGGCCCAACTACAAAGAGAGTATGTAAATATGTCAGGGAGTCTACACCATAATTGGAAATGGTTGAATAGGCTGAGAAAGATGATGATGATGAAAAGTAACGAGAAAACTTTCCTGGAGTGGGCCCTTTCGAACTGGATGGAATGTGTCCATCAGCAGTTTACCATTAGCTGAAGAAGTAGGATTCTTTGGTTGTGAAGTATAAATTCATTATTAAATAACATTATTATCATCAAAAGAATATATTAAAACCAAATTATAACGGGAAAACTTTCCTGGACTGGGTCCTTTTGACCTGGATGGAATGAGTCCATCAGCAGTTTACCATTAGCTGAAGAAGTAGAATTCTTTGGTTGTTGGGTATAAATTCATTATTAAATAACATTATTATCACCAAAAGAATATATTGAAACCGAATTATACCGAGAAAACTTTCCCGGAGTGGGCCCTTTCGAACTGGATGGAATGTGTCCATCAGCAGTTTACCATTAGCTGAAGAAGTAGGATTCTTCTGTTGTGGGGTATAAATTAATTATTAAATAACATTATTATTATCAAAAGAATATATTAAAACCGAATTATAACGAGAAAATTTTCCTGGAGTGGGTTCTTTCGAACTGGATGGAATGTGTCCATCAGCAGTTTACCATTAGCTGAAGAAGTAGGGGTCTTCAGTTGTGGGGTATAAATTCATTATTAAATAACATTATTATCATCAAAAGAATGTATTAGAACCGAATTATAACGAGATAACTTTCCCGGAGTGGGTCCTTTCGAACTGGATGGAATGTGTCCATCAGCAGTTTACCATTAGCTGAAGAAGTAGGATTCTTCGGTTATGGGGTATAAATTCATTATTAAATAACATTATTATTATCAAAAGAATATATTAAAACCGAATTATAACGAGAAAATTTTCCTGGAGTGGGTTCTTTCGAACTGGATGGAATGTGTCCATCAGCAGTTTACCATTAGCTGAAGAAGTAGGATTCTTCGGTTGTGGGGTATAAATTCATTATTAAATAACATTATTATCATCAAAAGAATATATTAAAACCAAATTATAACGGGAAAACTTTCCTGGACTGGGTCCTTTTGAACTGGATGGAATGAGTCCATCAGCAGTTTACCATTAGCTGAAGAAGCAGGATTCTTCGGTTGTGGGGTATAAATTCATTATTAAATAACATTATTATCACCAAAAGAATATTTTAAAACCAAATTATAACGAGAAAACTTTCCTGGACTGGGTCCTTTTGAACTGGATGGAATGTGTCCATCAGCAGTTAACCATTACATGAAGAAGTATGATTCTTGGGTTGTGGGGTATAAATTCATTATTAAATAACATTATTATCATCAAAAGAATATATTAACACCGAATTATAACGAGAAAACTTTCCCGGACTGGGTCCTTTTGAACTGAATGGAATGTGTCCATCAGCAGTTTACCATTAGCTGAAGAAGTATGATTCTTGGGTTGTGTGGGGTATAAATTCATTTTTAAATAAAATTATTATCACCAAAAGAATATATTAAAACCAAATTATAACGAGAAAACTTTCCTGGACTGAGTCCTTTTGAACTGGATGGAATGTGTCCATCAGCAGTTAACCATTACATGAAGAAGTACGATTCTTGGGTTGTGGGGTATAAATTCATTATTAAATAACATTATTATCACCAAAAGAATATATTAACACCGAATTATAACGAGAAAACTTTCCTGGACTGGGTCCTTTTGAACTGGATGGAATGTGTCCATCAGCAGTTAACCATTACATGAAGAAGTATGATTCTTGGGTTGTGGGGTATAAATTCATTATTAAATAACATTATTATCACCAAAAGAATATATTAACCCCGAATTATAACGAGAAAACTTTCCCGAACTGGGTCCTTTCGAACTGAATGGAATGTGTCCATCAACAGTTTACCATTAGCTGAAGAAGTATGATTCTTCGGTTGTGGGCTATAAATTCATTATTGAATAACATTATTATCACCAAAAGAATATATTAAAACCAAATTATAACGAGAAATCTTTCCTGGAGTGGGTTCTTTCGAACTGGATGGAATGTGTCCATCAGCAGTTTACCATTAGCTGAAGAAGTAGGATTCTTCGGTTGTGGGATATAAATTCATTATTAAATAACATTATTATTACCAAAAGAATATATTGAAACCGAATTATAACGAGAAAACTTTCCTGGAGTGGGTTCTTTCGAACTGGATGGAATGTGTCCATCAGCAGTTTACCATTAGCTGAAGAAGTAGGATTCTTCGGTTGTGGGGTATAAATTCATTATTAAATAACATTATTATCACCAAAAGAATATATTAAAACCGAATTATAACGAGAAAACTTTTCTGGAATGGGTCCTTTCGAACTGGATAGAATGTGTCCATCAGCAGTTTACCATTAGCTGAAGAAGTAGGATTCTTGGGTTGTGGGGTATAAATTAATTATTAAATAACATTATTATCACCAAAAGAATATATTAAAACCGAATTATAACGAGAAAACTTTTCTGGACTGGGTCCTTTTGAACTGGATGGAATGTGTCCATCATCAGTTTACCATTAGCTGAAGAAGTAGGATTCTTCGGTTGTGGGGTATAAATTCATTATTAAATAACATTATTATCACCAAATGAATATATTAAAACCGAATTATACCGAGAAAACTTTCCTGGAGTGGGTCCTTTCGAACTGGATGGAACGTGTCCATCGGCAGTTTACCATTAGCTGAAGAAGTCGGATTCTTCGGTTATGGGGTATAAACTCATTATTAAATAACATTATTATCATCAAAAGAATATATTAAAACCGAATTATAACGAGAAAACTTTTCTGGAGTGGGTCCTTTCGAACTGGATTGAATGTGTCCATCAGCAGTTTACCATTAGCTGAAGAAGTAGGATTCTTCGGTTATGGAGTATAAATTCATTATTAAAAAAAAATAAAATTCATGGAGGAAATCGAAATAAAAATGAAATACCCTATATCTCAGAAACTAAGCATTTTATGACATACATTTATACGAATTTTTTTACTTATTTTTATCAGCAAAATATGCTTCTGAAGTTTCCTGAATACAGTTTGGACCACCCTGTATATTAAGCGGAACTCACAATGCAGTAGAATAACTTGCCATTCAAGATACATTTGAGAAAGTACAACTTATCAGAGAGATCAAAACAGTAAACCGATCATGGCGAGATGCTAAATCAATAATTTTAAACCACCAAACCAGCTGGAGAACATTTTTTTACTGCAACCCTCCCCGCGTAGGAGGAAATGACAAAATGAAAATCAACGTTGAAGATCTGTCCATAATTGACAAATTATCAAACCGCGTGTATGACCCACTTTACATTAAAACGACGTCCTTTCCCTGCTCAAACCGTTCAAAGTTCGTGTCCCCATGCCGCGACCGCAACTCCATTATGCATCTGATAGATCGCAGTTAATAAAAGCACTCCTGGATAATTTCTAGCGGCACAGTTTAATTTTACTTCTAGCGGAAATTAAGATACAGATTTCTCGGGAGAATAAGAGCTCCCGGAACCTAGAGCGTATAGAACAGGCAGCCGGCCATTTTAAATTGCGTCGTGGAAGTTTAGAGATGAATTCGAGAGTGGCATTAAAAGGCTCTCGAGCGATCGGTGTCGGCTAAATTTAGATTATTATCCTGATAGATTTTGGAGACGTTACCCTACATAACTTATTAGAATTAAATTGGAGAGGTAATCGTGTTATGATATCGTTGGAATTTTAATCAGTAAACACCTCAACAACATTTTAAAATTTTCTTACAGACAGTTTTATTCCACTTTATCTTTATTATTTACACATCAACACATTTTCTTTATCTCTAAAAGGATGCTTGTTCCTTTATGGGGTTTAGTGGAGTATTTTTAAGGGAAAGTCTCCAGAAAAAAAGGACACAACGAATCTGTGAATATAAGGCAGAACCGCTTACCTGCGGCAAAAAGGATTTTTGGGATATTTCCAGACCTTTTGATCCTCACAGGACTAGGAAAGTATGTCTGAAAAGATTTTCTTTTTCAAAAGAAAAATCGAAGATGTAAGAAAGTAGAAATGCATTTCTGAAATTTTACATTGTATAGTAATTTATATTTTTAATATAACGATTATGGCAATCTACTCACTGAAATAAATTTGTTATAAACGTTCATTAATGATGAATGCAAAAATCTTTCTAAAATAGATCGTCTATGCATTATAATTTTTCAAAATATTTCTGTAAATTAATGTATGCATAATTTAATTTTAAAAAGAATTATATCATAAAAGCACGGGACATATTAAAATATTTACCTTGTTGAAAATAAACATGAACCGAGATATTAACTCTCTGCAATTTCTATTTTCAGAGGAAATCTCGTTAACTTAAATCAGAACTAATGCTTATTAAGAATGTAATAAGTTAGCTCTCTAGGAGATACTGAATAAGTAATGATATCCTGAAAATGTAGGACTAGGATAAGAGTCTTAAAGCTGGAAGATATTTTATTACAACCTTGGAATAATCTTCTCGTAAATGGGTCCCAGTAAATTGTAAAATATTGCAATAACGTTCCTCAGTGCATCTTATTTTATTTAGATGTCTAAAATTCAAGTTTGTATTTAAATGAAATTTTATAAGCAAATACAGGGTGTCCCAGGCTGAAGGTGCAGAAGAAGTTTTAAGAGAACCACAATATCTAGATCGGAGATTTTTTGCATCATTGTTTTGGAAAAAGATCTATCGATTAAAAATATTTTCAATATAGCGGCACTTCCGGAAATACCGAAAGTTGACAGCAACTTTGTTATTTTAAATGGCTGCCTCCATTTTTTATTATATAGTTAAATTCTCTCTAAAATTTTATGAATTTTGATATTAAACACTCTATACCTAGCATTAACCGTTTTTAAGAAAAAAAATATTTAAAATTTTTGGACAAAAAACTACCTGTCAAAAAAATTTTTACAGCCTAAAAATCAAATTTGGTAATTACCACAGCCACTGTGACATAAGGAGAAGACATGTGGCTATCTATTTCAAAAATTAAATTGTTCAAATGTCATATAATAATAGCGGTAGTTGTCATGGAATTGAGCGATTAAAAAATTATCATAAATCATTTTTTTCAGATGGAAACCCACTTTTTCATTTTACTAGTATAAAAATCCAATCAAGTAGTCAAAACTATTAAAAAATGTATAGTTAATAAATTGGAGTGGGTTTCTTTAATCAGAATAAAACATATAAAGGATAAAAGCCCAATCCTATTAATGTCAAATATTTCCAGAACATCTCTGTTTCAGAAAATCGTATTTTCTCCTTGTTGAAATTATTATTCTGTAAATAATACAGGAAGCCGAGAGCGTGAAAAGTCAGTTGACAGCCCTTACCTTCGACGAACATCCAGAAAAACGTCGTGATGTGGAAGTAATGGAGAAGAGTGACCAGGTAGACGCACATCACGGCCATATGCTCCTTGAAGTAGTTCAGCTGAAACAAGGACAATTTCAGTTATGTTAGAGGTATAATATTAGTTAAAAAATAAATAAGTCAATATGTTTTCGTACAAGTTTCTTGTATATGCTTTAAAAATTAATATTGGTTTGAATCAGTATGATTTTTTGAATACAATATTAATATTTTATATAAATACCAGCGACTTCGTTCGCGTCGAATTAATCATTTGTAATGGTGATGATAAAGCAAAGCAAGAATTTCCATTAACATACAAACTGGATAAAATTTTCTCACATTTATGTCAGCATAAGAAAAAACAATATGGCGATATTATTGTATAACTTGGTAATATTTGAGGGGTAGTTTCATCTCGTAGGAATTTGACTTTCGAATAATCCGTTTGTCAAAAATAAGCTTTTTACGTCAAGCAGTTTAAGCAGAATCGTGGTTAAGAAATTACCCAAATTTTTGGAACACCCTGTATGATTTTTTAAAAAATTTCAAAATATGTAAAAAAACAAATAAATTATGCTTGTCAAATCGTTTTCCCGAAAGACTAACCTTTTTTTAAATAACAAATATTGTAATATTTGAGGGGCGTTTTCACCCTCTTGGAATTTGAGATTCGAGAAACCCCTCCTTATCGAATCTCTACACCCAACAGTCAATCCGTTTGCCAAAAATCAGCTTTAAACGTCAAGCAGTTTAAGCAGAATCGTGATTACTCAATGGTCATATTTTATGAAACACTCTGTATAAATTTATAAAAAATCTTAAAATAAAACAACAAAATAAAATATACGTGTTTAAAAGTTTTTCCGAAAAACTCACCGGTTTTTAAATAAACAATATTTTAATATTTGAAGGATAGTTTCACCCCCTTAGAATTCGAGTTTCAAAAAATCCCTTCTTATCGAACCTCTACACCCTAGAGTCAATCTGTTTTCCAAAAATCAGCTTTTTACGTCAAACGCTTCAAGCAGGATCGTGATTAATAAATGACCAGATTTTTCGAAACACTCTGTATATATTTTTAAAAAATCTTAAAATATGTAAAAAACAAAATAAAATATACGTGTTTAAGCGTTTTTTCGGAAACTTGACCGTTTTTTAAATAAAAAATATTGTAATATTTGAGGGGTGGTTTCACCCTCTTAGAACTGGAATTTCGAAAAATCCCTTCTTATCGAACCTCTACACCCTAGAATCAACTTGTACGCCAAAGCAAGCCTTGAGCTTCTTACGTTGAGTGGTTTGAGCAGGATCGTGATTAATCAGTATGTCAGTCACTTAAGGATTTTATTTATTAGTATAGATTAATTTCATTATTGCAGTTTATTTTTTGCAATCTTGTTTGAAAAATAACTTAGTAAATTTCTAAGTTTACCACTATTTCAGTTAGATTAAAAGTAGGTATAATATGCGATATATGTATGAATAATAAAAAAAAACGGCATCAAAGATGGCTGGGAAATGATAGTCGATGATAATTTTGGCAAGGGCAATCTTTAGACGTCATAATAATTTTTTTTAATAAAATGATACCTATTATTAAGTCTTTATTTTGTTAACCCAATTTTTGTTACACTAAAAGAAGCTAAACTGCTTAACTAATAAAGAAACTTGTATATAAATTAAATAAACTTTTAATGAAACCAATAGAGCCTTTTCCTGCTAAGCCGGCTTTCCGTTTACCTTGCCCTACTATGATTCTCTTTCTCTCTATTTAACCAATACGTTTCTGTTAGTTTTCCCACTTTCCCGTTTCCCTACCACCCGTTATTTCTCCAACTCTAATCCACTGAAAACCCCCACTAGAGAGAAAGTAAAATTTTCCCAAAGACTTTTTTTTCTCCAAGAAGGACGACTTGTTGAACAAGGTAAATAGGGATAGTATTAAAGGTGGTAGACGTTAAATTCAGTCTGTGACTATAATTTTCGGCTGTGAAATTGCACTCTTAATTATTTCTTACTGTAGAGAAATAAGGAATTTTAGAGGAGTACTACAGAATGTCTGCGGATTTGTTTTTCCAAGAGGACACACATTTTTATTATTAACATTTTCAGAAAAACGAATTCTTCATAAAAATGTTTGCTTGCTCTAAAATGGCTAATCCCGTGTTATTTTGCAAATATCTATACCGTTTTTGATAAAAATAAAAAAAAACATGAAAATATAGTTGAATTTTTGTGAAGTCCTAGAAACGCGTTTCAATGGTAATATAATTTCCTATTCATTTTTTGATGGATTGTTAATGGATAGTTATTGATAGAATTTTAATTAACGTCATGTTTTTTGCTGTTTTAAAATGTTAAAGAAGCACAATAATATATTGTGTAATAAGTTTCGAAAAATGTTCTTTGCACACTCAATAAACCGTCACACCCGTGTGCAAAGAGCCTTTTTCAAACGTGTTGCACACGTTTCTTTGTAAATTTGTTTAAATTTCCAACAATATTATTTAATGACAATAACAGGTGAACAAGTTTTCTATTTTTACATTTTTGAAATAACAATAAAATTGAATTACTTATTAAAGTTATAATTAATGGTAACTTTGGAACAGTTTTTAAAATTAATTATTGGAATATCCCTTATATTTTCATAACTTTCTGTAATATTCAGAGAATATTCGGACGAATATGATTGGGTCGCTGGTTCATTCCTTGGCAAAGGCTGCAAAGGGATTTTTGAGGGAATGTTGGACGATGATGGCTCCACAGACTTCATTATTTTATTAGATACTTGTATTTTGTTTTCAATGGACTCACCAATATATCCTTCGGCAACGGTACTGGAATGCCAACCACTATGGCGCTTCAAAGTTAGTAAGTCACCCCCTTGTGGCTGATGATCGCCGAAAGCAATGACCGGTGTATTTTTCAGGATTCGGAAGATTTAGAAATTCGGCAATTTTTCTTGCCATATTTCCTATTTTGTTGATACCAACAACCTGTTTTGTGCATTTATACCATTACGATAATTAAGAAAAAAACTTTTTTCTGTTATATTTTGGGGACGAAGACTAAGATATTTCTTGCAAATTTCATAAAAAGTATCTGTAATGGTAAAGGATCTGGGTACTTTTCTTTTTGTGTGTTTTATTTTCACCAGTATTGCTGAATCAAGGTCTTTGATATCCTCAGTTGTTAATCTGCAGAGCTCGTCCCGCCTGCAAGCTCCTGTTAATCCAATTGCCACGACAGTCTAAGAAGTTAAGATATACTATATTATTTTCTAATTTATTAATATTATTATCTGAGTAAAGTACCTTAACAAGCAAATATATTTATTATTTGGAGCAGTAGATAAGAACCGATAAAAATCCTTTTCAGTGAGAATGTTGGACTTCTTTGGAACATAATTTTCTGATTTTCGCTTTAGGAAAGCAACCGATTTCATATAATTACCCAAATCCACGTTGTGTTTTATTTTCAGCGTGCTTTTCAACATTCAGTATTCGGACCAGAGGTCCACTCTCTGGTCCGAATACTGAATGTTGAAAAGCACGACTTATATTTCTTAAAAATTTCTTCAAAATAGACTAGCGCCACATTTTCAGAAAGGGATTTAATATTTTTGTTGTCTCTCCAAACCCATAAACTTGTTATATGCAGTTTCATAACGTTCCCGAGGTTTTTCAGGTAATAGACTCAACGATATATTTGCGGCTTGCTGCGTCAATTCGAAAGGATCGGTGGATTCAATTGTGTGCTCCATTGCCCGAAGATTAAAGGAAAAAATTAAGGGAAATCTGATATTTAAGTTGAATTACTTTTCAAACAATATGACACTGACAAATACGTTACGCCACCAGAGACAGTGTTGGCCATGTTGTTGTCTCTGGTTACGCTGCGACAACTTTAGATACCAATTATTAACAGGACTTTCATCTTTAAGGTAAGCGTGCGCAAAGATTGCACACTACAAAATTTGCGCACGGTGTGTGAAAAACGTCACTTTCCAGATTGACTTTGACGTGCGTTTTTTAACGTTTTAGATAGCAGTCGTAGAAAAAACTTATTTCGTTCAAAGCTAGTGAAAGGGTGATAATAGTTATAGGAAAATGTGATACTTAACAACAGCAAAATATGACGTTAATTGAAATTAATAATAACCAACTATAAAGAAGGCATCCATTTTTCTCAAAGAGACCTGGTTCAAATTAAAAAAGTAGAAAAAAACTCAAAGTCTCGGTCTCAACGTTTATACAATGTTAAACTGTTACACGTGTTTCGCTCATATACGAGCATCATCAGACCTAACAAGAAAGAACCTAAATAAATAACAAATAATAAAAAGGTCGTCTAACTTACAAATACAATTAAAATTAATCCAAATACACCGTTCACATTTTACAATTAAAACAACACTAAGACGAGGCTGAAATGACCGGCAAATATTTGTCAATAAAAAACAACAAAAAACAAACAGGAACAATAAATCAAACAAAATCAAAAATAAAATAAAAAATAGAATAACCTAGCAGGATTTGAACTCTAGGCTCCCGGGTGGGAACCAGAGAGCAAAGCCACTAAGCTACCATACTACTGAAGTAAAGATTCAGAACTCAACAATAATACACAGCCGAATTAATCTTTCAGATTATTGAAAATTAATGTTGGTTCGAAATTAAAAATGTCATTCACGCACACAAGAACCGGACTTTTTTAGCTCTAGTTATTTCCATTTTCTCCAATAAATCAAGTTTTTTACTTTTTTGGCATTCGTGCAGAACACTAACGTTTTCAGAGATGGAAAAATCGTGACCCGTGGCTAATAAATGGTTCGCAAAAGCCGATTTAGTCTCAGTTATATCCGAATTTCTGTATTTATTGACAAAGCTCAGATGTTCCTGTACTCGGGTGGAAATCTTACTACCTGATTGCCCCACATAGACCGCTTGACAGTCGCCACAATTCAAAGAATACACTCCCGATTTAGAGAGCCTCTCCGTTTTGTCTTTATTTCTAACCAAATTTGCTTTTAATGTATTAATAGTTTTAAAGGAAATAGATAAATTAAGATTTTT